CCACGGACGCCAAAGGGGGGGAGCAGGAGAAGGGATGAGTCCCCCCCGACCCCAGACCACCCAGCCTAGTGCCCTTACGCCCTTCCTTTCCCGGCAGGCGCCAAGCCGGCGAACAAGATGAAGATGTCCATGGTGAACATGCCCGTGGCCATGAGGGTCCTGCCTGTCGCCGCCTCTGTAGACAGCGTGGTAAGAGATGCCCACTGCTCCCTGGCACCGGCTGCTGCCCCTGGGGCTCACTGCCAGCCCTCTTCCTCATGCTGCCCTTCTGCCTTTTCTCTTGAGGACATGGCTCCCCCCAGCAACAAAACGGAGGACCAAGTGAAGCACCTGCTGCTGGTGAGGTCCCTCGCTCCCCTGCCCACCCCGTAGCTGCCCCCTGTGCTGCAGGAGGGGATGGGACCCTCTGCTTCCAGCCTGCTGTCTCTTGGCTGGCTCTGGGCTCTCCTGGGAGAGCTGGTGGGAGCTCCTGACCTCCTGCAATGTCCATCTGGCTGATATAAGCAGAGCTTTACCCACACCCCAGCACCTTGGTTTTTTCACCATGGTGTTATCTCACCATGGTGATCACTCTGCAGCAAGCAGACCCCAAGAAGATGTTCCCAGAGCTGAAGGACAATCTGATGGACAACCTGAAGAGACTGAAGAACACCATGACTCATGGGGACTGGAAGGTCAGTGTTTGCTGCTGCCCTGCTCTTCCCCATCCAGGAGCACCCTGTTTTGGGGAGGGACTGGGGCGTCCTCAACAGGGACAGAGTTCTGCTTGAGCCAGGCTCCCACCCTGAGGAAGGTGGTGGTGCTTAAGACCTGCTTTGGCCCAAGCTGGAGCTTGTGGCATGGCTCCCCTGTGGTGCCACCCCCCCTGCCCCCCAGTTAACATGCTCATTGCCTTTGTCACAGGCCTTTGAATCCTGGATGCACAAGTGGCTGCTGTTCGAAATGGCCAAGAACCCCAAGCCAGACGAGCCCAAGGCAATCCCAGCAGTGAAAGGTACTGGGGGTGGGGGTGCTGAGCTGGGGAGGGTCAGGACTGGCCTTTTGGGAGCAACCATCTCCCATCAGGTGCCAGCATGGGCCAACCAAACCCTCCATCCCCTTGACTCTTTGTTCCATGCTTGGTGGCATTTAGGCCATCACAGAGCCAGGGCATTTTGGGTGAGCAGCTCTGGAAAGCCAAAGCACCGCCCCAAATCCTCAGTCCTTGGGTATCCCCAGAGCTTTAGAAAGGTCACAGGGGTGGGGCTTGGTCACCTTTTAAATTTAATTTAGCTGCTTCTTGGTGAAAAGCTCCTACCAAAGCTGTCTGGGGAGCTCACGGTGTCTCCCCTGTTTTTATTGCCCTAGTGCAAACTAAGTGCCAGGCCGAGGCCAATTTTGGGGGTGTCCATCCGGGTCGGTTCCGCCCGCAGTGTGATGAGAACGGCGACTACCTGCCCAAGCAGTGCCACCCCTCCACGGGCTACTGCTGGTGCTGCTACAAAAATGGCACCAGGATTGAGGGCACTGCCACTCGGGAAAAGCTGGACTGCCCCGGTAGGTCACTGGGGAGGGGATGGAGGAGAGGAAGGAGCAGCATGCATGGATGTTGCCCCTCGTTTTGTTGAGTTAGGGAGGAGGAGAGTTGCCAGGGACAGCAGCAGAGAACATCCTTGCCTCTCTTTGGTGTCAGCATGTTAAGGCTGGAGGGGACACTAAACCCCACAGGCCTCCTGGGGTAGCTGCAGCTAGAGCCAGGGCATGCAGTCAAGGTTTTCCCTGAGCCCCCCCTTGCCCCCAAACCCATGGGTGGGTGCAGGCTCTCCCCTGCTGCCTTCAGAGAGGTGGGAGTGATGGAGCAGCCCCACAGGTCCAGCACCCACATCCTGCCCTCCCTCTGCAGATACTGCTGCTGCTGCTGCCACTGCGGAGCCAGAGATGATCTTCTCTGGGGTGGACATGCTCAATCTGACACCAGAGAAAGGTGGGAGTCCAAGTGTGGTAGTGGGACTAAAAGGGGAAAGCCCTGGGGGCTGTACAGGTCCAGCAGTAAAGGACCTGTATACAGGTTCAGCACCAAAGTGCTGCTGGAGAGGTGGGAAGCAGTGGTGGAGACACAGCAAAGCAGCCTGGGCTTTGGGAGGCTCCGGAGCCCTCTCACTGACTCCCTCCTCTTTTCCCACAGCACCAGAGTAGAAGATGATGCCAGCAGATACCTGTCTGCTCTTCAGGAGCCCAGCTCCCACGTTTTGTGATTCTTTTTTATTTTTTTCTCTTTCATTTCTGCTCTCACGCTGCTTTCCCAAGGCAATTAACAGTAGGCACCCCTGCCCCTCGAGCCACCAACTGCCACCCTTCCCCTGCTGCAGGGCACCAGGCGGCGCTGAGCTGCCAGCAGGATCAGTGCTAGAGCCAGTGTCCCTCAGAGGGTGGGTAAAGCAGGCTGGAAAATGATTCAAGCTATTTCAGACCCATAAACCCCATTCCCTTTGGCTCATCAGCACCCCGCAGCCCCCGGCGCAGAGCTCACCCCTGCTGAAGAACCACTAACTCTTGCTTACACTGAGTGAACATTAAAAGCAGCAAAACATCCTCCACCAGCTTCTTCACTGACCCCGTGGGTTGAAGCCTTGTTAGATGATGAGAGTAGAGGTTTTTTTATCATGGAGTGCTCAGTTTTGTAGATGTTCCCTTTCAGCTTTTGCCTTTAGGCTGGAGAGCAGCTGCAGTAGTGGGTAAAATGGGCAGAGGGCTTCTCATTTTTCTGGATGTATCTCTTAGTTCCTTTATAAATGACCTCACAAGCACATGGTTCCAAATAAACTTCTGAATCAGAAAAGCCTTGTAAGCAACTCTAGCAAGGCAGCACTTGCAGTTTGCAGCTGCTGTAGGTTAAAAATAAATTAACTTCATGGAAAAAAAGGAAAGAAAAGTCTCAGACACTTGGACATCCGTGTGCCAATCTAGAACTGTAGATATTCCTTGTTCCATTCCTGGCCCCTCAGTCAATCTCCCCAGCACCCTGGGGTCCCCCTGCACCCCAGCAGGGCCCGGGAGGCTGAGCTCACCTTTAGGTGAGTCACAGCCTTGGGAGGGCAGAGCTCTGCCCTCCCTCTGGAGCCTGAAGCCAGACTGCCCAGCATGGGGAGGAGCACAAGGGGATCCCATCCCTTTTTTCCTCACCTCCTAAACCTCAGGGCTGGGAGTGAAGCGAGGGAACCAGGCACAAGCCCAGGAGAAGGGGCAGGGGGCTGGGTCCACAGGGGGTGGTGCACAACCCTGCTCTCAGCACCTGCCCCTACACAGCACTTCAGTATCAAAAAGGAAAAATACAAACGTTGGAACATGCAGTTCAAAGCTGAGAAGCGACAGCATCTGCTGGCCCTTGGGTTCCCCTGGGGCCGATGGGGTGCCTGTGATGCCAAGGAGATGCTGGGTGCCACTCTGCTACCTGCACTGTCCTCCAGACAGCCAAGCCCTGCCCTGCCCGTCACCTCCCATCCCTTGAAAGCAGCTGAAGCAAAATCTCACCGTTCTTTTTTAAATTTTATTTTGTATTCCATAAAAAAGACCCACAAAAAATTACGCCACCTTGGCTGAGAACAGCTGCTGGACACAGCTGTTCAGTGCAACTCCAGGGCCCCAAAATATCACTGCTGTCAGTGTGAGAGTAAAAAGTAAACCCAAGGGCTCTCTTCTGTAGTAGCAAAAGGACTGACACCACATATCACAGAAGGGGCAGGGGGGGGAACCCAACAACAAAACCAACAAAAAGGTAAAAGTTTCTTTTAAAAAATATAGCTCTGTGAGGAGAAAGAGAAGGAAATGGCTGGGTGTCAACTAGGAGGAAAGCAGTTTATACACGCTGGCTCCTCTCTGGTCAACCTGCCTCCTTCTGTTCAGCTCTTGTGCAACAGGCGAGCCATCGGAACGCCTCTGGGCCCCAGCAGGGCAGGAGGAGGCAGAAACTCACACTGCTCTGCTCTGAAAGTCACAGTTAAAAGAAGTTATAAATTACTATTTAGAAAAAAAGTTGGAATTCTCCTGATGAGCTTCCTTTTCCTTTCTTCTGTTTGATCTTCACCCATAAATCCTTAATCACAGGGATGCGGTACCTTTGGGGAGAGGAGTTAAAAGAGTTAGGGGTGGGGAGGAGGGTAACAGCCTTACAGCCGAGCAGGGCCAGGGCAGGGTCGTCTGGTCCACTTCTAGGTGGCCACACCAGCACCACCAAATCCACCTCCCTGCAGTCAGCAGGGACAGACAGACACTGCCAGAGGCCGCTTCTCTCTGCCCGTGACAGGACGGCAACGTCCGGGCTGGACATCCAGTTCTCAGCAGCTAGAGTTGAGGTCAGACACATCCAGAGGAGCCAGCACACGGCTGCGTGACTGTCCTTACTCCACTCCACTCCCTGGCCCTCTAACCTAAGGCCAGGCTGCCTCAGTGGGTGCTCAGAGGGCACACTGTCTTCCCAAGGCTTCCCAGGAGCACTGAACTTGGCCAAGGATACCGCCGCTCAGAGGTACCAACTGACAGTCCCCACAGGCCATGTACCTTCTCACAGTCCCTCAGGCTCAGCTGTTTTCTTCTTCTAGGAAGAGAAGGGTGAAAAATAAATCAGTATTATCTGTGCCACAGGCATGAAGGACCCAGCAAAGCCACAAGCCAC